GTAAACAAAAATGCTTGCAAGAAGCGAAAGATAAGCCTATATTAGTCAGGTATCATCCGATATATTGAACCAGATATGCTTTCTATGTCAATTTGTTCAATAATACAATGAATGTCCATGGTATTAAAAAAGTATGCCCTATCACTCAAATGTTTATCTCAAAAGACACTCCACTATATTATACAAGTGGCTGTCCTTTTAAATCAATCGTTACATTATATGTAAAAATCGATTTTATTTTATTAGTAAACTAAGAGTATTATGAATACAATGCAACATATGATATGATTTTCTATAAAATAGACTTATTTTACATAAATCCTTTTGAATAAACTTATGCCAACTTATGCTTTAAAATTTAATTTTAAAATATCAAGCCCATTATTTATTTTTTTAAATGGTATTTATACCATTTCAAAGAGATTTAGATTAGAAAATTTATGGAATTCAATAAAAAACAAAATTGTATAAAAATTTTTATTAAAATACTAACGTAACTACAAACGTATAATTCACTGAAGCATGCCATTTATATACCTTTATAAAATTAAATATTTAAAAAATAATTGAAAACAAATATTTTTATTTAATTAAATTATTCACAAAAAAATCTTTACGTAATGCATACTTATTCAGAAAACTGTTCAAAATAAAACAAAAACTATTTGATTAAATATGCAAATTCTGTCAAACGGGTATATTTTAGACAACATCGTTGTCATGTATATATGATATAAAAAGCTATTTATATATTTTATTCCTGAATCTACAGACTATTTACATTATATTTATTATTAAACCTTCATTTAATATAACATTTTAATTAACAACTTCTATATAGCATGCTTGCTCATATTCTGCATCATATTATTTGTCGTTCAATGACTTTTGTAAGTTTTTATTGAATATTTAGCAACCTGTCCATCAGAATAGATAACTTAAATAATTTCAAATTTAAATTTTGTATGAAGTATACAGAATTATAAGATGCTACACTACTAGTCTAAGTCTGGTACTGTATTCAACAAGCTGAGCCAATGAACTTGTCTTTCGTCACAAAATTCAAACAATTCAGTCAACTCTATATCGTACTGACAATGTGTCAAATGATTCGTAGACAATAAAACTACAAAGTACATTACAATATTCATGGCATCTATAATAAATGTATAATAAATAGTGTACACGCTATTCAACAAGTTTGTAAACCAAAGCATCACAATTGACAAATGGATAGAGAGAGAGAGAGGGAGAGAGAGGGAGGGAGAGAGAGAGAGTGAGTGGGTGAGTGAGAGAAAGAGAGAGATTTATAATGAGATGGTGTGATAAGTTGATTGTAAGAATACAGACTGTGTTACGGGAATAGTATCTAGTATTGCATTACAATACACTCATTCATGTATTTATACTTTATTTCCATTCAATTTAATTGCCGTAAATGCTTTCATATCCGTCCACTAATTAACAATCAAATGAACTCCAAGAAAGACACTAAAATAACCTAACTGTCCCAGTTTCATACTGCATGTATGATTTAAAAAATTCATAAATCATTTCGTATAACCATGTTTACAGAATTGTTTGTCAAGAATTAAAACGTTAATTAATTCATACAAGATTTTTAATTAGCAAACTTTTAACTTAAAATTTTGACAATACATTTTTTCTTTACTTGCACACAATGATGAGAGTATTAATTTTACCAAAAAACACAATTAAAAGTGACCATGAAACTACCAATACTGAATTATGGTTAAATAAACTAAATCTCAATATTTAAATTTAATTAATATTCTGTAACTTAATAGAAAACACATCATAATAGGGGGCTATTATCCCTTTCCCCGCCGCTAATTCGTAACGTAATGCGTGAATGACCCCAATAAGCAGTACAAGTGACGCTGCTAAATGTCCAAAGTGATGAACGTAACATCATTAGTGAACAGCCCATTATCAGCTGCACAACAGTATTGCACAACATTTTAATATAACAAACGGTTTCACAGTATTTGCTGAATGAGTGTCACTTTGGACACCATTTCATTCACTAAGAGTTACCATTGATTATCACCGATGATGGCAGTGGTCAACGAGGACCTCTTGAATGAGATCAAGTGCATCATCAGATCGCTGGTCATCCCACACCCCAAAGGCATTGGCCTCAAGAGGCTGTGCAACGAGTACTTTGATATCGAGGGTAAGTGTGTCCACCACTGGCGCCATAACTGTGTTTCCATCCATTGTCACCCATTGCTGATCCCATGGTGTCTTAGGCAAAGAGATCCCGTACCGCGAGCTGGGGTTCCCGAGTCTGACATCATTGCTGAGGTCTATTCCCGATACGGTTCGCATGTATGGCGACCTCCAGGACATCCACACCGTTGTCCTATTCCCGGTCGCCAATGAGGACACGGCACACATCATATCACTCGTGAGCGCACAGAACAAGAGCAAAGAGAGGGGACCCCCGAGAACCCGGCCCTCCTTTCCCACTGGGAACTGGAGGACGGGTGGTATACGAGCGGGCGGTCGTGGCATGAGTCGCGGCGGTAGTCGTGGCGGCGGCAGAGTTGGCCGTACGATAGGGCCACGTCTTGCGCCCCGAGCCGTGAATCCCATTCCAGTGGCCAATTATCTGAGACCTGGAGGCGCCGGCGTTGTCAATGGTATGGCGCCGGCTGTTGGCGCCAATTATATCAGAACCGGCAGTACCGGTGTTGTGAACGGTATGGCTCGCAATCCGGTCAGTGGTCTCGTGAACCAAATGAGCCAAAAGTTTGCCAACTTTTCCATCACTAAACCCACGTCTCAGATACCGGAGCCGCCGCCCGGTATGTCTCGACGTTTGAATAGATCTGATCCCGACATCAAAGTCAATGGCGTGAACAACGGACCAAAGAGGCCGTCCAGTAATGGCATTCCCGCCGATGTCAAGGTATTGTCACTTGATTTTTGTGTTTTCATTACGAATTGATTGATTGAAATGA